CTCTAAGCAGTTTAAGGGAAGATTCTGGGTCAAAACCAACTTTCTACAGACCTCTAACATAAAACCGGAGGTAGCACCCAAAACAAAAATTTACCCTACACTTCTAATTTCTCTTTTCACAGCTCCCACCCCACCCCCAGGCTGATGCCCAAGCCCTGTGATAATTCTCTTTTGCACCCCAAGCAGCCCTTCTTTTAAGGGCCTAGAAGTCGCTTCAATGACATGTAGCAGTTGCACTCACAGCAGGCAGCAGGCGAGTCACAAGCCCTCCTCAGCAAGGGCTGCACCACCTGTCTGTCCCCTCTGCATCACTCCCCAGGCATGCCTGCCCGTGCCTCCCACCACCACCACTTGCTCCAATACATTTAACATACAAAACACAGCAACGCACTTACCATGCTTCATCATCACAGTCAGAAACCGGACGATAACTTTGGAGCACGGTCTAATAAGAACCTGGCGTTTGCCTCTCTTCTCGGCATTGTTGATGCTCTTGAGGGCATCGGCCAGGACATTCATGCGCACCATTATGGCTGTTTAGGGAAGAGAGAAAGGGCTTTCACCAGCACTGCCAGCATCAGCACATCGTAGTCCTGCCCGAGCCAGCGCAATCTGACCACCATGGGACAGTTCCCCACCTCTAGGCAGGTGGTTTCCCCAGCAGAAGGCACGTCGGCGGCCGACACTAAACTTTTAAGTGCCGCTGATTCAGAACGCAGACAAGAATCAACAGTGACGCCTCCCCAAATCCTAAACCCCAGCGGTACCTGTAATACTAACTCCCCCTTTAACACTGGTTCAGCTTTGTCCAGCCAGCCAAAGATACTACTTGCCTCTCATCTAACGCCTGCAACTACTAAACCCGAACCGTGTCCAACGGCAAGCGCACCCGTGGCAAAGGCATTTTACACGCCGCACACGAAACTCTTTACCAGTGGGCAGTCAAGTGCATGAGGATACCCGAGGAGTTTGGAAAACTGAGGGTGGAGGCCAAAGCACCCGTCGAGCACCAACGGGGATCTAACCTCCTTCCAACTCAACGAGCCTGAGGGGAAACCCTGGAGCGCAGAAGACATTTACCAGCAGACCGCCAGCCTAGGCTGGGTGCCGTGTCCCCTACTAAGTGGCCTCCCAAGCTGCCAGCGCGGTCGCAGCAATGAGTGGCTCCGCTGCCCACTACGGCCACGGCCCCCCATGCTTCGCGCCGCCCGGCGCCAAAGCGCCGCCTCAGCCACTACGAGGAAGTTCCGCGCCGATGAACGGGTGGTCGAAAGCTCGCGCTCCAGTTAGTACTGAGGCCTGCGCCCCATGGCCGGGCTTCCCAGAGTGCAGAGCGTGGAGACCAGACATGACTCTCCCCTATGCCAGCCCAGGCCCCCAAAAGGCCAGGATTCCCGGCCAAGGCGGGCTCCGACATCCTCGAAGAGCAACGAAGTGCAGCCTCAGAGTGCAGGATGGCTTCGATAGCCGACCGATGGTGTTAGAGCGCCAGACAGAGATACTCACCGGCACGGAAAGATGGCGGAAAGAGGACGGGAGGGGCGAGCGCAGGGAGTTATGGGAAGTGGATGGGCTATCGCGAGACTTTCAAAGGACCGCCAAAAAAAAAAAAAGATAGAGCCTAAAGGAAAGGGGACAACGAAGGGGCGGTCCTCTGCAGGGGTGAGCAGCAGAGCGTCGAAGGACTCGATCTCCCCGGTTGAGGCCCGGGAGGGAATAGTGGGTAAGGCTTTATTTAGTTGGACTCGCTCCTAACACTTAATATGTACAATTTAAAAAACTGACAAGGATCTAGATATTTGCTAAATTTTACTGCAGTAACTGGTCACCGTTTAGAATAAATAATGACACTTACATATTTATAGATCTCTGGAAGGACCCATAGCAATTAATAATTGCCTCTGGGACGGAACTAGGATGAAACACTTGCTTTTCACCCTATACAATTTTGTTTTGTTATTGAAATGGGCGTATGTATTACATTTTCAAAGTAACCAAAAAATACTTCTTAATCAGTGGTTGATTCCTTTTTGACGCCCCCTAAATCTTGGAATTTTACTGGGGCTCCAGACCTTTCTTTGGAGTTGTGGGGTGGTTTTGGAAGCAAGCCACAAATGTTTCAAAATGAGCACTGAGGATTCTGAACTGGTGCTTTTATCTGCTCTGCTGGACCCAGACAAGAGCCAGTTTGGATAAGTTTTATCCTCTCTGAAGGTTAGTAGATTCTCAATATATTTTGCCACTGGAAAAAGCAAGTAACTGAAGCTTGAACTCTGGGACCTAACCACCTTTAGGGCGGGAATTCTGGCTCCACCCTCTGTAACTGAGTAATGTGGTGTAAGTTACCTAATGATATTTTCACCCTTCCCCTGCCCACTACCCTGCTCCCACTTAGCCACCAGAATGACCTCTTCCCAACTTAAGACCCCTCATGCACTCTCTAAAGGCTCCCAAGGCCCTCAGTAAAATCCATATTCTTTATAAAACCTTACAAGGTTTTCCTCTGTGCACAATTCCTCCCTTGCATGAACACACCAGATCCCATGGCCCAGAATCCTCCCCGGCTTGCTTGTTTGTAAGACCTCCAAACATACCCTGCCTCAAGGCTGCTGTATTTGCTTTTCCCTCTAACTTGGGACATTCCTCCCCAGCTTGACAGGCTCATTACCTTTCCTCTGCCCTCTATTCAACTACACACTAACACAGCCAGCCCCCTCCCCTTTTCCTCCAGTCCCACTTCCCTGTGTGATTTTCCTCTATCACACTTCCCACCTCAAATATTGGAAATATACTTAGTTTCTGTCTCCATTTAAATTCCCAGCAATAGGGATTTGGTCAGTATTTTTCACTGCCATAATTTTCTACAGCTTCTAGAGAAGTTATATGGCACATCCTAGGCCCTTGATACATATTTAGAATAAATAAATGAGCAGATCGATTTTCCCATTTGTAAAATGGGTGTGATAATATCAACTACTTAATGTTGCTGTAAGGATAAATTAAATAAACCATATAAAGGGGAGAAACACAAACCTGGCCAGGTTGAGTGCTCCATCAGCATTAGTTAACTAATACAGTCTCAGGCCACATCCCCCTATCCCTCTCCCCCTTCTCAATCCTAAATGGTCAAGAAAGCAAACATCTGATTTGAACTCAGATTACAGCTTTACTTTCTCTGGTTACAAATATATTACCCAGGGAACATCACTTTTTTTTTTTTTAATTTATGCATACAGAACTGGGGGACAGGCCAGAGGTGCAGGGGTGGTGAGAGAATTCACCAAAGACAGAGTGGGGAGCAGAACAGGCAGATTGCTGAGGGGCGGGGCAGGAGAGATCTGCCTTGCCATGTGGTGTAGTCACCTCCCAGGGCAGGTGGGGATGGAACTCATGCTGAAGAGGGCTTTAGCATCTTAGTGCTGTGCTTTAACCGGCTGTGCCACCAGGGAGGGCCCACATCACCTTTTTAAATGAAAATTCTCTTGAAAATGGTTTCCTGTGTACTTACCTGTTCTGTTTAATAAAATATGGAGTTCACCTTTAGGACCTTAGCAAAAGTAAGGAGTTACGTGAATAAACTCACTTGCCTTTAAGAGCTTTGCTGTGACTACAGAAATAGCACTGTCTCTTTGTACACGTCACTCACTCACCCACCCATCCATGCATTCAGGAGTGCCTGCCATGTGCCAGATGGCAAGGGGAAAAAATAATAGTTCCTGTTTTTATGAAAAATCAGATCCCAGTGGGGGTGGGAGTACCACCTTTAAAGGCCACCAATACCCAGCAACATGCCATATAGGATGCCTACTAAGTGGGAATGCAGAGATGGCCTGAGATATTATTTCTAAAGCTTCCAGAGGAAGTACGATCTGATGGGTCAGTTACCAGTTCATGACTGTCAGTGAGGGATTGCTGTAGATGAACTAAGTGACTTCTCAAAATAAATGTGATTATACAATGCCCATGGCTAGAGCTCTATTATCTCCGTTTCACAAATGAGAAAACTAAATTCAACCTTTGACTTAAAACTCTTTGTCTTAAAAAGACAAAGCCAAGTGGTTACTTGACTAAGCTACTAGAGAGACCACTGGATGGGGTTTGGATCTAGGTCTCTGATGCCCAAGTGTTAGGAAAAGTGAGTGGGAATAGGCTGTTAACAGCTCCTGGAGATGAAGGGAGGTGAATCTACAGGGAAGCCAAATGGAAGCTGACGTGGGCTACTTTAAGATAAAAGGCAACATGTGGAAGGTGACCTCCTGAAAACCCAAATCCTTTCCCTCTTAGCACCACTAACTCATCGTCTACACTCGGAAATGGCAGGGCCGCTCTGGAATGAGTGCCAGAGCAAGTGTCCGAAGGCTGTGGCCAGAACAGCTGCAGAGGGGTAGCTGGGCTGCACTGGGAAGTCAGCCCAGGGGCTCAACTGAGAAGTAGCCTCCGTAACTTTGTGCAAGACCTGGGTTTTTTAGCCTCAAACAACCACGGTGAGACCTCTGGGGACGGTGTGTCACTTCCCTTTTCTAGACATCACCAAAGCCACCGGAGGCAACAAAGAATCTAAACTTTTGGGGTAGCTTGGGATTTAATATTAAATCTGTCCCAGAGCCACTAAGTATAGGCAGGGAGGCCAATAAAAAATAAAAACATTCAACTTGAGCTCTACTTTAAAAAACTTCAAGTGCAGGGGAAAGTTACCCACCCATTATTTACCAAGTGCCTGTATACTAAGCCCCGAGGTACAGAGCTGCCCAGAGCTTCCCCCTGAGCCTGCCTTACTCCTGGTCCTTCCAACACGGCCATCACTAACTCATTCACTCTATTTCCTTTCCAATTAGCACGGTGCCAGGATGCTTGCTGAGTAACTCTAAACCGTTATTTCACTTTGTTCTTAGAGTTTCTTACAGGCATGTAATGATCAACAGGGTAGTTCATTAATGAAATTTATAACTCCAATCATGTAAACATGGTGTTGGTTAACTACTAAGAAAGTAAGACACAAAGAGGGATTCTTGCTTTTTTAATTTTTCCCCTTTTACACAAAACAAAGTTGAAGAAATAATACAGGATTAAAACTGCAAAAGTAGTTAACTGGTAGAACAAGTATACACACAAAAATCCAGGCAGGACAATAGGTTATTTACAAGGAGGAAACACATGTATATTAAGGTAGTTTGTAGTTTCCATAGAAACATGGGGAAAAACTCAAACATGTGCTACATGGATGCCACTGTTTACAGCAATATTGAAGGGGAGAAAACTTATTTAGGGACAGATAAACCACAAGGTCCAGGCCTTACAACATCAGTGCAATAAATTCACAAAACTATATTACAGCTAATTAAAGAATGTTCAAAAATTCACATTTTCAGTCCTCAGAGGTTCATTCCTAATTTCTAGCTGCTGAGAGGGAGACTGACTCTAAGCAGCTTGTCAGAGTTAGACTCTCTGGAGCAAAGCCAACTCTCATCACTCCAAGTCTGTTCTCACCACCAGCCTTATATTCTTCAGAGAAAAAGCTACACAGATACCTTCTTAGTCACCACTTCCTATGCCCAATCCATAGGGGCCACGGCAGCCAGAACTGCCATTAAATGAGAATCCCGAGGCCTGCCTTTAAAGGCTATTTGGGTCTTGAGAAACTAGTAAGATTATTGTCTACTGAAGTGAATCTTGACTAAACACAGGAGGCTTGTTCTTTAGTGGTTGGTCTTGGAGTAAAGGTCAGGGACATTGAGCCTTAACCTATTTATGCACTTCAGCATCAGTCAGCTGAAAATCAGAAATTAAAAGTAGGCTGCAAGTCAAAATACAACCTTTTGGAATTCTGCTAAAAAGTCTTGAAGGATTTACTAATTTAAAGTTTAAGTACAAGCGGATAAAAGCTCTAAACCTGTCAGATTCCCATTTGGAAGAAAACATCACTGTTTCTTACAACTTACTAAGTTTTGCACAGGGAGAAGCCAATACATACTGGCATACGGAATTTGTTTCATTACATAAGTAGTCTTCACCCATGATACAGAAACAAAATAAGGAATGAATCTTAATTGGTCTCTTATGTGGTTTCTATATTCATGAAGAGCCAGACAGTTTTTTAAGCAGACTGTGGAAGCAGACAGTAGAACCAGCTTCCTGTAGCCACAGACCACTACCTTCTATCTAGCCAAAACAAAGATCAACTGGATAGTTACCCAGAGTCACTGTTAACTGTACTAAAGGGTGAAGGTCACCACTAGGTTATTACAGGAAGTTGCCTAAATGTAAGAATTCGATCAACCCTGCATGAGAAATATCAAAACAAGTCATACAAATGAGTTGTCCATGTAAGGCCAACTGAGAGAATATACCCAGCCACACTTGACATGAAGACACTATGAATTAAGCTGAGTTGGCAAGTCTGAATTTCTATTAACTAAGGGCAGATGAGGGAGCTAAGAGCTGCTTCTGTAACATTTAGTATCCAGACAGCAATAATAGAAACTGTTTCCATGGATAATGGATATGCCATTAGTCACATTGAACAAAGCAGATTCACTATTCATTTTTCTTTTCTTTTTGTTTGAGAAGCTTGTTTATCTCCCTTTTGGCCATTCCAATGTACTTCGAAATGATTCCATGTTGGTTCAGTCCAGGAAGCAACAGCAAGAAAGTCACTTAAAAATAAAGAAACAAAATTACAGAGGCAGCAATTCATTTTCTACAGGTTATTACATTTTACAGAAGGTAGTTTCCCAGACTGTTAAAGACATTCTGATGGGAGGAAGCAGTATGAAATCCATCACTTCCAGTGGTAATAATTAGCCCCAGAAACTTCTGCCGTCACACCTCAGCTAACTTGCACACTACTTATCTTCACATCTAGCATTTTAATTCCCCTCTTGGTTATTATTTCTCTGCCTCAATATCCCACAATACGAGCTCCCTGAACACAAGGAATTGTTTTTCAGTTAAACTTCTACACTCCCACAGTTCTTTGAGCAGTGCCCAAACCTGATGAGCAAGCACACACTCTTGTTTACTAAGTCCCAGGCCAGGCCTGCAGTTGTTCCTCACAGACTTACCTATCAGGTAGGTGAGAAGAAGGTTGTGGACTTGCTGTCCCACCCAAGCAACCGTAGCAAGAGAAAGGATCATGGTCATGAAGTACTAATAATGAAAATAACAAGAAATATCAATTCCTGGAACAAACTAAAGAGCATAGATTTAGGATATCATTTCAAAGGATGGAAAATAATTCGGTTTTTATTACAATTTTTCTTCAAAAATATTTATTACCTATGTATAAAATACATAGACTCTAGATACATTTCCTCCTAGTATTAGCTTGTTATATAAATTGTTACTTATACAGTTGGTAATTGTGCTTAGCAACCTCATCTAAACCTGAGAAAGAGCAAGTGCTAAGTATGTCTTTTATTTCAGTAAATTAAAAAAAAAAAAATTGTCCAACTAGAATGAAAAACTAAATGTAAAATATAACTAATTTCAAATGAATGAGATAAACATTTATGAATGTATTCAAAAAAGTTAAACCAACAGATAATGGAAGGCATCAGACTATAACTATTAAAACAAAAGGGCCATCAAACACTAAAATGAAAACAAAAACTGACTCAACTGGAAATTTTTGTTTTACTTAAATAACTCAAAAAAAAGAAAGTACCATTTTAGGCTTTTCTTCCTTTAGAGTGCAGAGGCGTTTCCACCAGCCCACAGTTCTGCGACGAGACTTTACTACATTGCTGCAGATTTCATGGAATCTTTGCTGTTGCTCAGTGGTCCTAGAAAAAGAATTTTCCTTTGCTATAAGCAGCTCTCTACAGTAAACAGAAATAGGCCATCCTCTTAAAATTTTAAAAACTATCTTTAAAAAAAGTTTAAGTAAACAATGATCCGATATTATAAAGGTGAAAAAGTCCTTATACCACTAAGACACCTTTTCTAGCACAGAAATAAAGACACGAGTGGGGCAGGCACATGTGTGTGCATGTGTGTGTTCGTGTGTGTAGACACACATGTATTTTAATACATTAAAGCAATGATAAACATGATTCTAAAGCCAATGTTTGCTTTAGGATAGTAACAGGAATGTCACTACCACTATGGGCCATGCAGAAATTAGTATAATTTCTGTGTTCCTAATTATTTTTCAGATCCTAATGAATCCTGAGTTGCAGCCCATCAGAGTCCCGTTGTTTTGAGAAAAATGTTGTTTCCATTAAACAGTAGTATTTGAGCACTCATCAGGAAAAGAAATAACTACTAGCATTCAAAGCATAACACCCTCAAACTGGGCTTCATGCATTTGATCCAAGGAAGAAACACTCAAATCCAAATTCTTTATAAATTTACTGCTAGTGAGGGAAATGTAATCGTATATAAAAATATAAAAGGTCTTTATAATGGAGGAAGGAGAGCCCTCCTGGTGATGCACTGGGTTAAAGCGCAACATTGCAAAGTTGGCTGCAGACACTTTAGCTACTTCAGCATGAGTTCCGTCAGGAGCTGACCCGCATGGTGCAGCAGACCTCTCCTGTCTTGCCCACTGTTCCCTTCAGCAGTGTCCTTTGTCAGTCTGCTAGTTTTGCTCCCCACCGTTTCTGTTGAAGCCTCTCACCACTCCTACACCTCTAGCCTGTACCTCAGTACTGTATGCATAAATAAATAAATAAATCTTAAAATGGGGGAAGGATGGTGGGGAAAGGAGACTGATTAAACTTAAGTGATAGAAAGAGAAGGGTTTCTGCTGAGCCTTGGAATTTGTTGTAAACAATCAGACCTTATATGTTGCCCATGGTCAAGGTTAGATTGTGGCTGTGCAACAGTGTTCTTCTCCTTAAGGCCAAAAACTAAAACCGCTTTGTTGATAAGACTGAGTCATATACTGATAACTAGAAGAAACTATCAGCCTTTGTTTCTAAAAACTTTCCTCCAAGAGTTATGAATTAGCAGTTTAGAATGTCATCCAACAAATAAAATCAAGGTCAGATTGATTTCTTTTATTGAACTGTTACACTGCATGGTTACAAACTTGCCCAGTAAACACCCGCATAATTCATAACTGCAAAACAACTCACAGGACATTTCCTAACACTATTCTGCTGTGGGAAAGCATTTAAATAAACATGATTAGTTATCTCATAATTTTGTTCAGTTTGTCCTCAAAAATCCATAAAGTACACATGTAAAAATTCTTATTTTTATAGAGTTATAAATTGCTATTACCAGAGCAACAACAATAAAACTAAAGGCATAAAGTCTATTTATCAAATGAAACAACCAAGGAGAAGAACAGCTAGGGAAAAAAAATCAATTGCAACATCTAGTTTTGTTTACTTATCTAGATCTAAAGTGAGAAATCCAACACTGTGGAAGGAAATTAAAATACTTTTAAAGTAACCTGGAGCCTCCCTGCTACACTAGGGGTTAAGTCTCAGCACTATCACCACTACAATCTGAGTTCCTCTCCCAGCCAGGAAGTTAGCCACAGCATGGCCTCTCCTGCCTCGCTGTTCCCCTTAGCAGTGCAGTTCAATAAAATCCACCTGTTCTGCCCCCCAACTTTGTCTCTAATGAATCCTCTCAACTCCCCCAATCCCTTGCACTGCAGCCCTACACCCCAGTTGTTGTATGCATAAATAAGTCTTTAAACTAAAAAGGTACTTTTTAGAAAGTAAAAGGTACTTTTTAGAAAGAAAAAGGTACTTTAATGTGACCTACACTTTCATAAATAATTCATAAATAACCAGAGACTGGTAAAATTGAAATCAACAACCCACTAGTATGCAGTGCAAGTCAAAATATTTCACAGTACCTAGAACAGCACCTAACATATCAGCAGACATTCAATAAGTAGCTGTTGCTGAATAAAAATCTACTATTACTGTTTTTGTATTTATTTAAAAGTAACTTATGAGGGCCCTCCCTGGTGGTGCAACAGGTTAAAGTGCAGCACTATTAAGTTATCACTGCCACTGCAGCTCAAGTTCGATCCCCAACCAGGGAGGTGACCCACATGGCACAGCAGACCTCTCCTGACCTGCCCAATGTTCCCCTCAGCAATGGATTTCAGCCTGCCTGTTCTGCTGCCTACTCTGTCTCTGGTGAATCCTCTCACCACCCACCTCCACACCTCTGGCCTGTACTTCAGTTCTATATGCAAAAATAAATAAATCTTTAAAAAATTAAAAGTAACTTGTGAAACTAACTATACATTTTAAGTTTCGGAGGAAATATAAAATGTAAAACTATGAGTTCTGCAAACCTTTATGAAATGTTATTTTTAAAAACTTACTTCCCACTGAAAAGCCTAAAAAGAAAAACAGTTTCAGAATAAAAGCCTGGCCCTGAAAAACTATGGTGATGTAAGTACTGGAAATTCATGATTTATTCTGAATCAGCTAAAAGAGTTATCATATAAAAGCAATAAATCTAACCCTTTGGTGACTATTAATTACAGCCACCAGATCACCCAGTAACTTTTCAGAAATTAGGCTGCCAAATCATTATGCCACCTACCATTTATTGGAGCCAAAAATTCTAGGTGCAAGAATGGGAACAAGGTAGTCAGCCAAGCACAAAAACATAACAAAACAGGAAACACCGGACAGAACAGATGGATCTAGATAGTAGATAGTCCTGTTCAAAAAAAAAAAAAAAAATTAGAGAAAGTCATTATTCATTGTTGACGGTGTTTTAACTATTTACACTTAGTCCACAAGTTCCCAAAGATGTCACTTGCCCTTTTCATTCTAATTTTCAGAGTGATTTTCCAAAGCCTTCATGGTGACATTAAGCCGGAATGGTTAATGTAAATATCAAGAGATAAAATAAAAAGCTCTTTGGGGCCCTCAGTATTTGTTAAGAACATAAAGTGTCTTAGGGCCAAAAAGTTTGAGTCATTTCTTAATTCAGCTGCATTAGATTACAAGCTTATGTAAGTACTACAAATTCTGAAAACTGAGAAAACTGCTCCAAGAAAAGGCATTCTTTCCAGATTATACATTACAAAAGACTTAAAGTACTTTCATAAATGGAGGCCATATTTACCTGAGCCTTATAACTAATAAACACAAACTGTAGTAATTTAATCGCTCACTTACAGAAACACCAAAGAAACCACACCCATGATGGCAGGTGGAAACCAGGCTCTTTCCCATCGGAGGACTTTATCAGCCATCAGCATCACTTCTCCCCATCCTTGCAGCTGCTCTTCCAGACTTGCAGTTTCAGCAGCCTACATATGCACAACATTTAAAGCGATCGTTTAACCACTCTCAAAATTTCTATGGTTCCTAGAGAGCTGAAATTCTTCTAAGGTACAAAGTATGCAAAATAGCTCTTATTCAAATCATTATCTTATTAAACAACTTAGTTTCTGAAAAGCCCTGCAAGGTTGCTACCAGAGACAGAAATTAGTGGGAGCACTATCTATTTTTACATATCTGATGTAACATAATCCTTATAGAGGCCCCAAGGAATGGATAAGAAGACCCATTTTACAACTAAAGAAAGTGAACTCAGAATGCTTAACTACCTTTCCCACAATTATGTACCACTAAGTGGCAGTGCCCAGTCTTTAAAAAAATTACATCACCTTAAGTTCATTTCAGGTGGTTAGAATTGATCTGTTTTGTCATTGCACTGATCTGAACTCCTATTCTAAATCCATTAGGAAAGCCTCTCTCTGAACAGCATTCAGTTTCCAAAATAGCTCTTTGAAATGGACTCATTTAGATATTTGCCTTATTTGCAAATTAAGGAAAACTACTTTCACCAAATCACTTGGTGCTTTAAAGTAAACATCTCAAAACTGCTTCTTACATTTTGATCGGACTAAGTTTCTCTGCAAATCTGACAATCAGCTGAAAGTGGACTTCTGGGATGAGCTAATGCTGGCCCTAAAGCCCTTCAGACAATTTTGGTAGAGGGGAAAAAACTGGAACATTTTGAAAACCAAGTGTCCCTAGAAATGTCATCACAGGGGTCAGTGCACCTTACTCTAAATAAAGATTCTAGCAGTCACTCGGATGACTTCAAGATTACTTTGTGCGAGAAACTGTGCCAAGTATTTAATCCATTTAGTTTAATCACTCTTCCCAGCATGCTACCAGGGGTTGTTACCCTCATTCTACAAGTGAGGATACTGAGAGACACTGAGATTCAAATTAACAGATCTGAATCAGGGAATGCAAGACCAAAGGCCTCCCTCTCCCTGATGTGATACTGCTCTGCTGGAAAGAGCAGCTGAGCTCTAGGCCAGGACCTGTCATTTCCAGAGCCGCGTCAACTCCACCAACTTCTTGGTGCCTCAACCGATCCTCTTAAGGAACCTGGCTGGGGCTAACTACGCTGACTAGTCAGGCGTTTCTAAAATCCAATGCAAAGTGAAAATCCCGCACAATCAAAGCTGCTCAGCAACATCACTGAATGCGTTAACACTGTACTCCTGGAAAATCAAGTCAAAAATTAAATTCTTTCACTGTGGCTGCGGCATGAGGCCTAACTTTCTCGGGGGAAGGGCAATGGAGACAAAAACACTGGCTTCGCTCTCATTTTTGCCTAGACTGTGCCTTCAATCCGTTCAACTTGTCCACCTGTGATAAAAACTCGCCTCAGTTCCTTCGGATCTCTGCTTAATCAAAAGTCGCCCCAAGTGCACCCCTCAACGTTCAAATTCCGTACAAACGCCAAGACCCACCCAACCCCATTGTCTTTCCACCTGTACCCCACTCCCGGTTCCCGGCGGAGAGTTTCGCAGCCTCTCTGCCATTTTAAGCTGTGACAACTCCTAACAGGATTTCTCCTGTCCGTGGACTGGGAAAAAGAATGAAGGGACACAGGGCCACGATCAAAGAGGCGCTAACCTGGCCAGGGCTGGCGCCTGGGCCCCAAAAGCGCTGGGTCGCCCTCGCCCGGCCCTCTGCCCCAGGTTTCCGTCTCGGTCCCCCTTCTCCCACTTCCTCCTCAACCCCCATTCGTCGTGACTAATCACGCGCCCTCTACGCCCAGTGCCGAACCTTCCTCCGGGGGTGTCTTAGGTCCACCGCGTCGTCGCCTGGGCACCCACCGAGGGGGGCCGGGCCACGGCGGGTGACAGGAACGAGCCCACCCAGGTCGAGGCCCCACTCGGTTCCCTCTCGAATAGGAGCCGGCACTCACCAGCAGGTTGGCGCTGCGATTATCTCCCTCTGCCATCGTCCCAGAGGTACCGCCTCAGCGAGCGAAAGTCGCCCTTGGAACAAAACAGCACTAAATACCCGCAAGGAGACCCCACGGCCAGGGTACGCCCCGCAGGCCTTATATAGCCCGGTGCCTTTCCCGACAGCCAGCGCGAAGCGCGCTCCTCATTGGACAGATCGAACTCAAGCTCAGGAAGAACCGACCAACTGCTGCCCAGCGCATGGCTTGAAAACGAGGTTAAAGGAAAGCGAGGCCTCGCCGGCCGAGGGGCGGGGTCACAGAATGGCCAATCAGCGCCCGAGACTTGTGCGACGCCCCTCCCAGGCTCTTCGGAATCGGTTCAACTGCCGCCTCGCGAGCGGTGGGTTGGTCTTGGCCTTCGGGGGTGATCGCCCCGGCGTCTTTCGGGTGGTGTGCACAGCTGCTCGGGAGCCTCTCGGGAAAACCTAGTCGTAGAAGAAATACGCCGCGCAACGTCAGGCGGAGAGCGGAAGTGCGCCCGTGATGCCAACCTCCTGGAGACGGGGGGCTGGCTGACCTCTGCCCGCCTGGCTCCCGGCCTGGCCGGGCCCCTAGGGGCACGACCCTCTTTGCTCCAGTCCCTGTCCCGGCGACCCTAGCCCGGCCCCTGAGCATCAGAGCCTGGATCTGGGACTCCAAGGCTCGGGCCCACCTCAGGAGGTTGTGAAGGGAGCTATTCGTGTAGATTCTCTGTGGTTTTTATATTAACCCTCTTACTCGCTTTAGTTGGGGGGGGGGGGGGTGGGAAGGGGGACGGGGCGGCTTGAGAGCGCGCGGAAACACCGGTGGATACCCTCGGCTTTTCACACCGGGTCTTTTAGGAGAAAGTGCTTGCTTGGAAAACTGATCTTCCCCCAGAGGAGCTGGTTTTGATAAGACCTTGCTTACACTCGAGGTCCTGCTGAGCGGTAACGTCATCAACCATGGGATTCTTAGCACACTGCTGCCTCTGTCCCCCCAGGACTTCAGGCATCAGCTTCCGCATGACTCAGAACAGAGAAAGTAGTGTCACGTGTTGGCCTTGGATGGACGCACCAGTTTTCCACTTTCAGCCTTTTGTCATTAATGATGGCATCGAACTTTAAACTGGCTTTGTCAAAACACCCCTTAAATAGCTACCAGGTTCTAAAGAATCCAGAGAAGGCATAAAGAAATGTGAGGGCACTACTAGAGGCACACTGCCTGAGCCAGCCTGGGGGACACACGCATCGTGGATTTCAGCAAAGGGGGGGAAATTTGCCATGCCAGCGCGAAGACTGAGTGAGGCGGCTGGAGCTGGTGGAAATACTTGATGGGGGTGGCTAGCCTTGCTAGGGAAAGAGACGCCAGTGCTACTCTGGATATGTGGTCGATGAGATCTGGTAGCTAACATGCAGCCAGCTAATTGACAAAGACTCCACTCGGGAGAGTTTAAAGCTGTCATGTGAAATGCAGATCCTCTTCCATCTCTTAGAAAAGAAGGTCCCAGTCAGCAATCAGAGTATATCCAGTAAAGTGCCAGTTATCAGTTAACAACTAACTTTAATACTGTAGTTATTTTTGGCTACAGAAAACTTCTGGTTTACACAAGCCCCCTATTAACAATTTAAGGAACTTTTCAGCACCTGCCTATAGAACTGAGGTAGGTGGGAAAAATAAACAACTGTTAACACACTCCCTCCAGGGAGTTTTTTGTTACTCAAGAAATGTATTCCCAAATCTCCAGGACTTTGTGACTTAATAGCCTCAGAGCACTGCTAAAAGTTCTTTCCATGAAATTTCTAATTGGCCTATTAAAATACACCTATAAAGTACCTTTCTTGAGTTTTCTGTGCTATAAATACAAGATATGATCTTTTAAATTATGCCAGATGACTGACAGCTAACACAAATCCTAACATAACCCATTGCAACAAATGCGAACAGCTATTATAACAAGCTGGACATTTTAGTTCTTCAGTGCTTTAATAGCCTGGGAAATATTAATGTTACTGTACAGGAGGTTTTGAGGTTTTTTAAGTAAAACTGGGATGTAGGCCAGAGGTGTGGAGTGAGAAGACACCACAGTGGAGTGGGACACGGAACAGGCAGATTATTGAAATACACTGCTAAGGGGGAAAGGGAGCGGGACAGGAGAGGTCTGCTGCACTCTGGGGGTCAGCTCACTGGCCAGGATCAAACTTCGGCCTCAGCAGTGATAGCGCTGAGACTTGATTCCTAGGCCAATAGGAAGGCTGAAGTTGTTTTTGAGTGTTACCTATATTTAAGCTAAATAAACTGGGTCTTAATACTAACAACTTTACATCTTAGTAAAATTTCCACTGCTACTGAAAAATACTGGCACTCTGGGAACCAAAAAACTAAGTTCTTTAAAAAAATTTTTCAGTATTAGTGTTTAAAAAAGCTACCCATATGAAGTTTTCTGGGACCTTTGACCAAATAAATCCAAAGCTTACATGCTATTTTTGAGACGTTTATTTTTTGAAAAACAGGTATTTCATACAATCTTTGCCACATTAATGCAAATATGCACAAAGTAGGCATGTATTTTTGTTTTCAAAAAGATGCATCATGAACATTTTCAGGAAGCTGGTGTGATTTATTCAACTTTTAATCTTAAATACAATCACAAAATTATATCCATCAGGAGGCATTGCAACCTTTGTACAGAGAAGTCACTTTTTTATACAATGTTACTAGGACAAGGAAGATTCAGTTTTCAACTTAATTTGCTGTTATAAGAAAGGTAAAGTAAATAAACAGGTAAGTGAAGTATGTCACTGCCATGGACATGACAGGTGGAAATGCAAGGGAAATTTAAACCAGAAAAATAACTGACATAAGAACTTTTAATGGGAGCTGAAACTTAAGTCAGGAAGAGAAAAAAAAATCAGCTTGTTTCGAAAAAAAAAAAAAAAAAGTCTGCATTTCGGAACAACATGCAATTCCTTAAGCTTACCATCTTCAAAAGTTCAGCCAATTGTATGACATTTTCACATTAGCACAACAGCTTTTTCCCTAGGTAAGCCCAGCCCAGTTCCCACTGAAAGCAAGAGACCACCTTGAACCGTGCCCTGGTAGATAAGGGATGGTGAGACTATTACCCAGGCCTACAAAGCAGGAAAAGTGCAACAAACCCTTAGAGGTTCATAATACAGTGAATTTAATTTCCTCTTCCCCCAGCATAAAGTTTTGGAATGCTAACTTTCCCCTCATTATGAAATCTTTAGTACAACCCAAACACTGAAAACAAAATACCTTCTTTTCGTGAAACTCACATTAATACATCCTATCTACCCTTTTAAGCAAGAGGGATGCCTTAGCTCTAAATTACTGGCATTTTGCAAGCTCCACAAGTTACAGAATGGAAGGCTATTGGTTTTCATTAACTAATTTTGTGTAAGATACTTAACTGTGCTAACAAAGCATTCACTGATTTTTAATGTATATGAATTGGACTAACAGGTTAACTGTAGGTGGTTTAATATGAAAAGAATCAGAGAAAGAGAAAAGAAGAACCAGCTCCCTTGATTTTAGTACTGCCAAAAAAGTAAGCCCCCAGCGTAATTACAAATATGTGGAGGAAAATAGGCCAGGAAGACTCTGTTTCAAAGTACTGCCTATAATACCCCGGGTTTAAAATGACCTAAGATTGCACATCAACTCTAATATTTGGCTGTACTTGCATTGCCCTGCTTGGCATTTTAAAATGGCTCTTTCCTTAAATTTCACACATCAGAAAAACCACATTAAAAAAAATGCAGATAACACCAAACACGGGACAATATTAACTACTAACTAAGCTTAGGTAATAGAGGCAAGTGTTAAGGGCAGAGTGATGGAAGTTTTTCTTTGTAATACAAACCCTCACCCTAAACCTGGGGTTAGGGCACTAAAAAAGCAATTCAGGGAAACAGATCAAGAGCTTGATTATCAATTCTCACATATGTGAAAAACTGCAAGTGTCAGACACAAAAGAACCTAATTATCTAGCAAACTATAAAGAACTCATGACCAGATATAGTTAAGACACACCAAAGAAACAGGCTACAGGCAGCTCCAAGAACTTCTAAACCTCCACAGCTTCGCAGAGATAGCAACTAAAGTCAGGCAATTTTATTTAGCAAATTAAAGACAAAAACACAAGAGAAACCTCAGTTTCCAGGGGGTACTTTGAAGAAGAGGTGGTTTGTAGGTTATTCGGTACCCCCCGAATCTGAGAGAAGAGCAGATTCCCTGGTTCTCCACAGGTACTTTGTATCACCATAAATGTATTACTAACTACAGCACTCTTAAGCTTTCCATTATTTTACAGGGTGATCCCCAAAATATAGCGCCATCTTCAATTTGCTCTACCACTAGAGCCTTTTACCCACTGATAAAATTGCTAACTATTGAGGTTTCTTACAACAGTTCAAAATGATAAAGCGCCTTTGAGAATGACTTCCCAGAGAAAGCCAAACCCTACAGAGGAGGGTCTCATAGCCCAGAGTGCAGCAAAGATTAAGATTTGAAGTCATCAATTATTCTTATCTGCCCTGAACCAAATACTTATATGCCACACTATTCTCTGAGGGACCATTTTACAACAAAAGTGGTAGATAATTTACCAGAGGCATGTATTTTTGCCAGGTACCTCTGAAACCTAAAATTCACAGGCAATAAAATCCACTTATCTTCTTTATCAAAGAGGAACTAATTTCTAAATACCATCTAGAGAGAACAAACTAATGTGAACTGGTTTTTTTAATCATTGTGACAAAAGTTTTTCCTGGGACAATAAAGAATGTTGTGAAAAACCTGTTTAATCTTAAGAGAGCAGAGGTAATCAAGTGATGAATGCTCCCACTGTCTTTAGGAAATAAAGCAGAGTGCAAAATACAATATGGCATTATTATTCCAGCTAAGTTTTGATTGTGAAAATGAGGCTCAAGATGAAGAAAATAAAAGTTGATGCATGAGTTTCCTTAACTTACTACTAGACGACACATGGGTATTTAAAAATACCACCACTCTTGCAATACTTGTCAAAACAGTTTTAAAAAAAATCACTGATACTGAAGTGCATTCTGTTGTAGGTATTTAAAGATTATAATGTGGCATAGAATACAGAAAAGATCAGAGCTATGTGGAATTCATCCTTAACACATTTTGTGTGTCTGTGAAGACTGGTAACTAGAAAGCAATTACAGTTCTAATTTCTAAAATGCAGGTTAAGAAAAATGTACAGAAGATTTTTAACTGTATTTTAGTTTGTGCTGATAGATGATTTTAGGAATCCTAGTCTGGATTTTTATTTTGGACCAACAATTGAATTTACAAGGTCAGTACTGAAATGCAGTGATAATTTAAGGAAACCTTGATCATGAACTCACAATGAATTACTAAACAGCAAACTATAGAAATTGTACAAAAAGTACTTCACAGACTAGTAACTGAACCTAATAAAAGATGGTGGTGGTTCTCATTTTTGCTGATGTTTCATGTACATGTCCTAAAATGCCAGGTAAATGAAAGCACTTTTAATTTACAGACTGTAAATCAAAAGGATAATTTACAGTCTGTAAATCAAAAGGATAATTTACACTTTGAAAATGAAAAGTATCACCTTGTAAAGTAAAATTAAGTATCAAATTAGGAAACTGAATTAAAAAACATTTCACTCTACCTCCACCAGAACATCACTTTATTGTTAATCTGTCATCAACAATGTAAAACTCTAATAGATACTCTATCCTGGCTTTTAAAAAGGTAAAAGATTACATTGAATTAGCTATTTTCTATGAAAGAAACTACAGCAATCACAGAAGAGGGAAAATTTGAATGACTTCCCAAAAATGCACACTATCAGCAAAGGGAGTGTACATTAAATCAAATGTTTGTTAGATTCATTACTTTTGAATGCACAGTGACAATTCTGGAAACTGTACATGATAGAATCACAGAAATAACTTAAATAACCAGAATTACATTTTGTATGTGATCATCAGACCTTTAAACAATCCCAGAATTTCCCATGTTATTGATGGTTTTGGAGAAATTTCTGTTTATCACTCCAAATGTAAGCTGTTAACAGCACTGAGAGCAAAGAATAAGAAATATAAGGATTGAAACAAAAATGAGTTTGAGAGATGGCTAATCTATATCAGGTAAAAGGGCAGTGGGTAGTGGAGGAGGGTTGGGGAGAAGGATGGGTTGTTTTGTTTTTTTCCCTTCATTTCAGAAGTCCTTCCAATGTAGTGTTTCTGTTACATAGCTCTCCGTTTTCAGTCCATTTCTGAAATTCATATCTCAGCCTGTTTGTACTTACTGGTCAACCCAACCAGTATTGTTGCCAAGCAACAAGTGTTACACTAGAATCTGAATGCATCAAATCTTCCTTGGCTGTGATTTCTTCTCGGCCCCAGTATTCTCTGTTTCTGAGCGGGGTTTTTTCCTGGATTGTACACACAGGGTCAGGTGGAATGGAGTTCCAAATCACTCTGTGCTCCGCGACATCCCGATTTCTTTCTGCAGCTAACCTCCTGACACGTTTGCAGCTGTTCTGTGGCAGAAAGACAATCTCCGTGTTCAGGCGGTGAGCTTTCTTTCTTTCACCCTTGACCCTGGGGTTGCAGGCCATGGTGTTGGGCGTATCCCTGAGTGCAGCTGTCCTGCAGGATTCACTTCGTAGCGCACCGAGATTTCCTAGGTTTCCTCAGAGTAACCCCCAGTTGCATCACCACCGACTGTGGTGTGGCTTTGGATGCCTGAGGCTGAGTTGATTCTGGTGGATGTCTGACCTCGCTTAACCAGACTCATCTACTGTCTTGCCATTCACACCCAGGCTGTCCAACCTTCATACAGCTGAGCCAAGTTATCTAGATTAGTTGCTTCCTTAATGACATAGTCAACCTATAAAAAGAAGATAGTAAAACCACTTTAAATTTAAAGTACATGAGTTCTATGAATTGTTTCAGTTTCTAATTACACAAGTCAACTCCAAGAGGCAATGTAGTTGCTACAGTGGATGAAGAGTTGAGTAAGTTAAGTTTCCCTCGTAATTTCTACAGCTGACAGAACGTTTGTCCTAGGAAATTCACAACCTTACATGATCTGTGACCCCACTGGCCCATCGGTACTCCTGAAGTTTTGCAGTGAAATCACTGGGTGAACATTTAGGTTGTATTTAAAAAAAAAAAAGTCATATCAGGCCCTCCTTGGTGGCGCAGTAGATTAAAGCACAGCACTAAGAAGCTAAAGCCACTTCAGTATGAGTCCCATCCCAGCCCCAAAGGTGACCCTCATGGCGCCACAGACCTCTCCTGATCTACCTGCTACTTCCCTCAGCAGTGTACTTCATCAATCTGCCTGCTCTGTTCCCCACTTTGTCTTTGGTGAATACTCTCACTGCCCCTGAGCCTCTTGCCTGTACCCCAGAGTTCTGTATGCATAAATATTAAAAAAAAAAAAAAAAAGCCTGTAAGATCCTTGAGCACAAGTTGGGTGATTATCAAAATCCAGTTTTGACAGATCAATCCAAGTTTCTCTTGTAGTAAGAAAGATAGCCAGACATCTTTTAGGGTACAATTACCTGGCAATTGCTCAATGAATGGCTGCTGAATTATAATCTATACCCAAAGTTTTATGCAAAAAACTCTACACTTACCCCTTAACTTTCTTTCATATAAAACTTATTATCTGAATTAAAAAGCACAATAGTGAAGGATCCTCTAAAAAAATGGGCAAGAGGCCCTCCCTGGTGGCACAACTGGTTAAAGCACAGCACTATGAAGCTGTCCACAGCCACTGAAGCATAAGTTTGCTCTCCATCCAGGCAGCTGACCCACATGGCGCAGCAGACCTCTCCTCATCTACAGGATGCTCCCCTTAGAAGTGGATTTCAGTCATTCCACCTGTTTTGCTCCCCACTCTGTATCTGATGAACTGTCTCACCCCCCACATACCTCTAGCCTGTACCCCAGTTCTTGCAAGCATAAATAAATCTTTTTAAAAATAAAGATGGACAAGAGCTAGACAGTGATATAAGCACACAATTCCTTAACTTGTCAAAAAGTTTGTGAGGTAAAGATATCCTTGTCTCAGTAAATCATGCAAAGTTTTTGACAAGTTATTTCTAAAGAATGACTCTTGCCCAAGAACAATTTAGGGTCAAGTGCTATACAAACAAGACAAAAGAACTTTCGTTACTGACATTAAACTGCATTGTGGGTACCAAAACATTAGAAATTAGAACAGCCAAGGTCAAAATGGCAGCAGTGGCTTGTGCCCCAGATTTCTAGGCTGCCAGGTTGGTCCCAGCCACACCTGGAATGGCCTATGTGGAGTGGCACCCACGGAGAGGAGAGTTCAGCTCTCACACAGAATGCCCTCAACTACTTCATCCCATGCCATGTGTTGGGTGCGAGTATGCTGACTTGTAGAAGCCACAGCATGAAGAGCAAGAAGGCACCCCAGCCTCACCTCATCCCCTAGCACCACCTCTGCACCACATGCTTCACTGAGCAAGGTAATCATACTCAATTCTGTAACACTCATGTGAAGTCACTGCTGCCTGGCTGTGATGAGTCAAGAGAACCTGGACTACTGCCCAGGCACTGGGTCCACAGCCCTGGACTAGACCATCACTCTGCATGTGGACAGAACATGCAGAACCTTGAGCTCCACCTCATTTTCTTGTTATCAAATGATGACCCACACAATGATCTTCTGTCTCTCTGCTTACCGCAGAAGACTAGCCTTAAATAAGAAACCTGACTGGCAATGGGGGGTAAAAAAAGAACAGTCTCAAAATTTAACCTTACAAGAGAAAAGGTAATTTACAATGGTGAACATTACCCAGAACAAATAAGCAGATTTGATAATACCAAAGATGGCATAAACCAGCAAGTATCCTTTGATGTAAAATTCTGAGAAAGCTATGACACATCACTAGCATGGTACTCCTGTCTATAACAACTGATTTTGAATCTACTTAAGAAGAAAATATTACACAAATGCAAACTGAGGTATAGTCTGTAAACAAAATGGTCTGGACACAAAAAATGTCAATGCCAAAATAAAATGTCTCAAAAACTGTTCTAACTATAAAAGTTGACTAAAACAAGTAAATGAAATGCAGAATAAACCTTACACATTGTACTGGAGGAGTGGGGAATGCAGCTTAAAGGATTAAGATGAAGCCTCCTTGGTGGTACAAGTGGTCATGTCTCAGCAATATGAAGCTGTCTGCAGCCACTGCAGCACAAGCTCCATCCCTGGCCAGGGAGTGACCCGCATGGCACAGCAGACCTCTCCTGTCTCCCTGCTGCTCCCCTCAGCAGTGTATTTCCAGTCAATCTGCCGGTTCTGCTCCCCACTGTCTCTGCTGAATCCTCTCATTCTGCCCCCACACCTCTGGCCTAAAACCCAGCTCTTATTTGCATAAATAAATAAAATAAAAAAAGGAGAAAAAGGTAAAGAATAAAGGACAATGGTAATAATTGAAGAAATGTGAATATGGACTAAGTGTTAGCCATGTATGGACAATGTTGTTTTCTGAATTTACAACTGAGTAATGTAACTATGTATTATAATATTTTCAGAGAAATATACTGAAGTATTTAGGCATGTAGTATTATGATGGCTCCAACTAACTCTCCAAGGGTTCTAAAAAATTGTATTTGTGGAAACAAATAAACAATAAGATAAAGCAAATTACAATTTTTAAAGATATGGGGGGGGGATTTGCTCTCCACTTTATTGATCGATTGAAAAGATTTACTTATGCATACAGAACTGGGGTATAGACATGAAATGTGCAGTGGCGGTGAGAGGCTTCACCAGAGACAAAGTGAGCAGAACAGGCAGGTCAACAACGTACACTGCCTTGGGGAGCAGTGGGTGAGACAGGAAAAGTCTGCAGCACCACGTGGGTCACCTCGGGGCTGGGGATCGAACTCACACCAATGCTGCTGCAGCTAGCTTGCAGTACTGTGTCCTAAGCCGTTGCGCCACCAGGGAGGGGCCATACTCTCAATTTATATACATAATTTTAATGAGAAAATTTCAGAGTAATGACTCAAGTCAAAACCCAAGAACATTTTATAGAAACTGTTCCTGCACCCAAAAATGTCTTCTTCATTTCATACGAAACTTTTATATGGTCCTCTTTAAAATGCAAATTTGCTGCTCATCTGCTAAAGAGCGTCAATTCACATTTTAAATTTCTGTGAAAGAGGGCTGGGAAAAAGGGAAAGTGGTAATAGGATGGTGACTATATGACAATTCCAGAGCTGTGTTACCCAAAATCTTCTGGATCCTAAAAGGAGATTTAATTCCTCATTTCTTGATCAACCATGATGGAAATAAATAAGAGGATCACCCTTCAAAAACTCACCTGTTCAGCAACTGACATCCTCCTATTTGGATCAACATCTCGGCCCTCTAACTTGGCTTTCACTCTCTTCCACACACTGACTGCATATGAATTTCTCTCTTGCACAGCTATGAGGCAACAGAAACAAATGTTAAGCCAAACCATCACTTAGTGGAAATATTTAAGGCATCTTTATCCTAACTGTTTACCTTTCCCAGTCTTAGGGTCTCTGACGGCCTTTTTAGGACTACAAGCAACACTCTTGCCAGTTCCTGGAATGGTGCTTGGTGGAGTATCTGCTGATGTAGCAAGATTTTTCTGAACCAGCTTTCTAGCATTCTGTGACATGACATCAGGCTGAGTCTTCTGGCCAGTGTTGCTCCGGACTGCTACAGAAAAAGAGTTGCAGTAGCTCAATTTACATGTAAACAGAAAATGGCATGGGACAATGAGTTAAAAGCAGAGTGATGCTCTCTCAATCCATCAACTACAAATGACTGTCTGGAAATGGATTTTTAATTCACAATTTTAAGGTTTTCTGCCCATGAAAAAGAAACTGCCCTCCTAAAAACAAACCCAGACATTCAGATGTGAATCTGTACAGTGATATACTAGCTTGTTGTGACATCAAAACATTATAAATGCCTTAAATGTCTAACCATAAAAGATTAGCATGGTAGTCACAGACTACCACATTAAATTTGGTCGTCATTTTTTCAAAAGATTTACTGGCAGGGAAAACTATCAATTTAATATTAAGTAGACAAAGCAACAAAAATATCCAGAAGTGAACCAACAATTCAGCAGTTTTACACCTAACTGAAATGCAACTATAAATTTTCTTTTTTTTTTAAGATTTATTTATTTATGCACACAGAACTGGGGTACAGGCCAGAGGTGCAGGGGCAGTGAGAAGATTCACTATAGTCAAGAGTGGGGAGCAGAAAAGGCAGATCAATGAAGTACACTGCTGAGGGGAGCAGCGGGCGAGGCTGGAGAGGTCTGATGCTCCATGTGGTCACCTCTGGGTAATCCATCCAAAGATGGTGGCTATGGCCACCTCTGCAGCGGTGCACTTTAACCTGCTGCGCCACCAGGGTGGGGCTACAACTATAAATTTTCTATTGACCATTTCTCTGTTTACCTAACAAGCATACATTTCATAATCAAAAATAAATTATTTAGGGCCTCCCTGGTGGCACAAGGGGTCAATCCCCTGCCAGACAGGTGACCAACATGACACAGCAGACCTCTTCTGTCTTGTCCCATGTTCCCCTCAGCAGTGTATTGCAGTCAGTCTGCCCGTTCTGTTCCCCACACCCCCTACTCTGTCTCTGGTGAATCCTCAAAACCCCCACCCCCGCCATCTCTGGCCTACACCCCAATTCTTATATAACACAAACCTTTGAAAGTAAATAAGTGAATAATTAAAAAGTATTTGAACACAGGTAGCTCAAAAGTACTTTAAAGTTAAAATCCCACTTATTTACTCTTAAGATATGACAGGCTTTAAGGAAACCCTTTAAAAAGGGTTTATATGACTATAAGTTAATCAGATATTTACAATGAAATTGCTAACATCTTTGTCTACATAGATTATTGACAGATAACGATTCAGGTAATTCTGAAGCAGGGAATTCCTACCTGCAGCAAAGGATGGCTGATAAGTAGCAGATGACGTTGGACTTGAACATTCATTTGTTGCATCGGTGACTAAGGGTGATGCAAAACTCACTAAATTATTATAGATACTGAAATACAAAATAAAATGGTTTATGTGGTATGCTTTACCAGATAACTACTTTTAAATTACTGAACAAAATCGAATTAATTAACTACATAATTATGTTATTTGGCCAGAAAGCATTCTTACCTCTGACTTTGTGTTTTCAGTTCTTTCAAGGTGGGAGTTATTTCCTGAAGCATTTCAACATGTTCTTGACTTCGAACCTGACCCATAGCCTGAACTAATGTAAACAGCACCGTCTGAATATTGTCTTGCCATGATTTATATTCACTCAAGAACTGCCTAACACTGTTCTCATAGGGAACATCTTCACCATCTGCCAGAGCAGCTTCTTCATCCTAGAACCCACATAACAACAATTACGAAAAATGGTTTTGGTTCAGAAATTAAAGACTGTCACTTTTTGATTAATAATAAGTGGTTTTCACATAGCAATATATTTAATTATTTTATTACAATTCTTTTTCCCCTAGGAATCTTGTTTTGAAAATATTATAAAAACTACAAGTAAAAATAAATCCTAAAATTTAATATTTTGGTTTTGTAATGAAGTAATTAAGTGTTTTCTGAGGGCTCACTTTTCTTATTAGTTAAATTAGTCAGATACTAAAAGAAACATTCATTCATTTTGGAGGTACCCTATAAAATCTGGGATAAGGATGTGGAGAAGAGAAGCAACTGCTCTAAATACTATGAGAGTAAGTTTGGTTCTCAGCTTTACTACACAACTTATGAAGTGAATGGGTGAATCAATCTCCTCAAACCTGCTTATCTATGCACAAAATTAAAACTAACTACAAAAAAAAAATGTAGTTCAGGAGAACAAATTCATTTAGAAACTGGAAGATGTGAGGTGAGGGAAACTGCTTTGCCTATAAAATTCTTACAATGTCACTTTTCCATAAATCACAACTTTCAATTTTATAAAGGGGTTGGGGGAGATGTGCCAATAGTATTAGTCCTACCTTAGCCATTGCTTTCAGTAGATGTTTAACATCTGCAAGTTGCCGGTTATGACCAGTGAGCACAGTCTTTATATTATCAACAAGATTCTGAATTGTCTCACAGACCGTGTCTATCTGCTGCTCTTTCTCTGTTTGAATTGCCCTCTGTGTAGACATATCTTGGGTCAATTGTTTGTGGGCTGACAAAAGCCATTCAGAGCTGCCAATAGGGTGTTCAAGACTGGTGTCCTAAACAGAGCAAACATCTGTTATAGTTTTAAAAATCAGCTAGAAGAGTTTAACATTTCTTCATCACTGTTATCACAAAGTACCAGTAGCTCCAAGTTGACAAAGAGAACCTCAGTGGCCCAGTAATGCTTTAATGACCTACAAAACAGTACTTGACAATACTTTAAACAATCTGTGAACTACAGAATAACATTAAGTTTTCCGCACAAGTATATAGGGAATAAGCACTTCTTTTTAAGATCTGTAACAAAGATAATTCATATGGACTCAAAAGTCATTTGTTAAAATCAAACTAAATCTTCCTACAACACAGCCTAAAATTCCATAATATTTCCAAACTTACCAACTTCATGTTTCTGGAATTTGCCCATCATTTGTCTTCTGCTAGCCCTCTTTTTATTATCTTATTTTCAGTATTCTGAATCATTTAACAGTTTTTCTCCGCCCCTCTAAACCTTCACAGTCCTTCCACCAGTTGTCATTCTGCAAATTCTTTCACTATTTCATTAGTTGAATTGTTTGTTTAAGTATGTAATAAGATCACTGGGAAGTACATCACTAGTATATGGGTACATGCTCAATAAATGTAAACCAGCGATCAAGCGGATTTTGAGAACATTATAAAGGCCATATCATTTTAATTACCGAGTCTCTTTCCTCCCTCCAAGAGTCAAGACTCACCACTCTCTGTAGTAAACGAAGCTCCAACTCAGAGACCGAACTGTTAAACTGGGATGCAAATGAACACATTTGCTGACAGCGTTTGATTAGTTCAAATAACGCAGCATCCAGGTTTAAGGCATCTGCAGTTCTAGTTCGTAAACTTTCGAAATGAATGATATTGCTGCAGAGGAAAGTGACCTGTGAAGAAGCAAGAGAGAAATGGAAACACCACATGTGGGAAAAGAAATCAATCAATGATATGAAATAAATATCTACTCTTTTCCATAACTCAGAATCAAAATTGATCCTAAAACTGTGAACATGTGACTCTTTTGGCCATAGACCAAACCCTTAAACAGGCTGTTAAGTGTGGCAAGTGTGTGCTGTTGATGCTGGTAGTCTGAAGTCCCTATGATGTTTAAATAAGTATACCTTTTACATGATTGTTTTTACACAAAATTTACTCAATAATAAAACTGTTATTATATTCCACGGAAATCTGTTATGTCCAAATTTTAATTTGGAATGTTCCCCTTCTGTTTCTATTCTAACCAACTTTACAATAAAGATCACAAAATATTGACTTCTAAGGTATAATAATATTGTGATTAAGTTCTTTTGAGTTCTTTACTGAAATATTTTACAGATAAAATGATAGATCTATATAGAACTATAAAGGAAATAAAATTTGAAGGATAGGTATATGAGATATGGGTTATCATTATTAGTAGTACATTTTGCACCTGATTGAAAATTTACATAGGGGTCTTCCTGATAGCCTAGGGGTTAAGTCTCAGCACTATCACTGTGACAGCCTGAATTTGATCCCTGCCCAGAGTGGTGACCCACATGGCACAGCAGACCTCCCCTGTCTTTCCTGCTGCTCCCCTCAGCAGTGGATTTCAGTAAATCTGCCTGCTCTGCGCCCTACTCTTACCTCTGGTGAATCCTCTAACCACTCGCATCTCTGGCCTACTCTCCACTTCTTCTGTAATACTTTTTAATTTAATTAAAATAGTACTTTTGTTTGTCACCCCCTGTTCACAACGAAGTTAATCCACAACCTCTGGAAGAATACAAAGCTGTAAGATCTTTTATTGCCATGTGGGAAAAAATGATATTCAAATCTTTGGGTGACCTTAGACAACTATAAACTTAAAATTCTATTTTCCAACAAAGGCTGCATATACTTTATTTTTATATTTATATTTAACTGGGATGCAGTAATAATCTAAGGAAATAACTGTCTTTCGATTTAGCTTTAACGAAAACCCCAGAACACCAGTTCCTCTTCCCAGTTTTGTGGAATAGAGGGGTGACCTCTCAAGCTGTTCCTAGACATGCTACATGCAACTTCCATTCAGTTAATACAATCCTGCACCTGGAAACAAAGAGGACACACAAAGACCACAATACCTGGCTTGCTCTTTGACTTTCTTTAAGGACAAGATTTCGTCTTTCTGCTATTGTTGCTTCAAAATCTTGTAGCACAGGTGCTAGTGCAGGGTTGGCACCACCTGCCCACTTGAGTCGCTGTTCAATGCTTGCTTCAAGAGCTGCTAGTTTGTCCTATGAAAACCAGCAGAATTCCAGTGAATACCAACAGACTTCATGTCGGATTAGCATTTTATATAACATAACAGAAAGTCAAAAGAACCATGATGGAGCACATGAAATTTAGAAAACAACTTTAACAAACAGTAACCATTCAAAAGTAATCTTTCACTAACATTCCACTCTAAATATTTGAGACTTAACATGTTTGAGAAATACAAATTGGCACAGTACTTGCTACACCAAACTCCGAGAGAGCTATGGACAAGGAAGTCCGTTTATACTTCTGACTGTGAAAAATGGAAAGTAGTTTCCCACAACTTCAAAAGCTTACAAATTATGATAAAAATCCATCTAGGGCCTCCCTGGCATGGGAGGTGGCACAAGGAGTTAAGTCTCAGCACTATTAAGTTATCACCTACCACTGCACGTGAGTTCGATCCCCAGCCAGGAAGCTGACCCACATTTTGCAGCAGCCCTCTCCTGTCTCCCCGCTGTTCCCCTCAGCAGTGGATTCCTGTAGGTCTGCCTGTTCTGTTCCCCACTTTGTGCCTGGTGAAGTCCTCTCACCTCCATACCTCTGGCCTGTACCCATTCTTGTATGCATATAAAGTAAAATATAAATCTTTAAAAAAAAAAAAAATCCACCCAGATTGTCAAGACAAGGTAGATAAAGATGAGAGGTCCAGAAAATTTTCATTATAATTTAAAAAATTTTCACACAATATTGTTTTTTATTCTAGTCGTGATTCATAGAAAGAAAAATACCAATTACTATTGAGTACTAAGGTACAGAACACAGAATCTAAAGATAAACATAACCATCACCAAGACTAGTTTCTCTCTCAAAAAAAAAAAAAAAAAAAAAAAAAAAAGAGTTGGGTCCCTTCCTGGTGGTGGCATAAGAAGTTCAAAGTGCAGTATTATAAAGGTATCAGCTATCAGTAGCCCCTGCAGCACCAGTTTGAGCCCCATCCAGGGAACTGACTCACATGGTACAACAAACCTCACCTGGCCTGCCCACTGCTCCTCTCAACAGTGTATTTCAGTAGATCCATCTGCCTTGCTGTCCTGTCCACTCTGTCTCTGGTGAATCCTATCACCCCTATCCCTCACCTCTGGCCAATAACCCTGTTTTGTATGCATAAATAAAATATCTTTAAAAGGGGGGGGGGAATGGGGCTTGGGGAGAGTAAATATTCAGCTGAAATGACCAAAGGGTCAGTAGTAAGAGTTTGGAAAAATGTTCTGCTGCCTTTCACATCACAAAAATTAAACATTCAAGAGAGTATAAAAAGCATAGGCTGGGCCCTCCCTGGTGGTGCAGCGGGTTAAGGCGCAGTACTGCAAGCTAGCTGCAGCTGCCTCAGTGTAAATTCAATCCCTGGCCCCAGAGGTGATGCACATGGTGCAACAGACCTCTCCTGTCTCGCCCGCTGCTCCCCTCAGCAGTGTACTTCATCAGTCTGCCTGTTCTGCTCCTCATTCTGTCTCTAGTGAATCCTCTCACCGCCCCTGTACCTCTGGCCTCAGCCCCAGTTCTGAAGACAGAAATAAATCTTAAAATAAAATTACAGGCTTCTTAAGATATTAATAAAATGTCAGCCAAAATAAAGATTTCTTTAAAAGATTAAGAAAGATACGACAGCTTACAAACATTTCAGAACACAAGTATTCAAGTTTCCCATGTGTACAAGGCATATGATCATCAAATGCATTAAAAACCTGAATTCTTAATATGCCTCTACTCCTCAGAACATAATGCTACAATAATTTGGTTACCTTCAAATTTAAGGAATTATACTCCTGGGGCTTAAAAACCACGTGCAAGCTCCTGTAACTAACAGTAACAGTGTTGGCTGAAAGGAGGACCTGACAAAACACACCTGAACTGTGACCATTGAACTTTCAATCTGACTCAGAGTATGGAGTTTCTTTTTCATGCTGGTTAGGATGGCAGACCGAGGGGGAGGCGTGACTGACATGGCCTGTGGTCTATTGATGAGAAGATCTTCATGCTGCCACTGTTCAAAGAAGAGGAAATTTAATAAAATCAGTAGGAAAAAAAACCTTTAGCTAAACAAGGGAAGGGTGGTGCACATTACCACTGGGGGAAGAGAAATAAATAATCCAGCCACAAAGGCAGGCAGGCAGAAGACAGTAACAGAAGAAACACTACAAAGAAGGAAGGAAAACAAACAAACAAAAAAAAAAAAACAATCAGGTGAAGATTTTCCTGAGGTGGTTGACAATTTTCTCAGATCAATAAAATGTAACCGTTAAATAATAATTCTGAAGATGATTTCTAGTTAAAGTAAATCTAGTACACAACTTTCCAGAAAATAATCTACAGTTAAGAGGTTGGAAGGTCTTGATGGCGGGCAGGAAGTGATAGAATGGTGGGGACAAACTGTTGATGAAAGATCAAGTAATCTTGTATGTTACATGGAGACTCCAGGAGGCATTTGGATTACAATTAAGTTTTACAATTAAGCTCTGTGCTCAGAGCTTACAATGTATTCAGATGCACAAAACTAAAAGAATTTTTACATGTTTTCCATATAGCTGCCATCATTATTTAAGGAAATAATAATGTACAAAATTTTTCAGCATTACATTTAAAATATACCCCCAAAATTCCAGTGTGCCAGAAATAAGACTATTAATATATAATAAACGCAGTTTCAGAATTTGACTATATTACTTTCCTTAACCTAAGAACTAATAGCAGCTAATGGTGAAACTGCAAAGGAAAAGAAGGTTGTGCCAAAACAGATTTCAGGAGAAATCTGTAGTCCACAAACATTACTCCACAGGTTACAACTTGTTTGAAGCTACTGACAATATTGAAGCCTATATAATATATGAAAAAGAAAGTTTAAAATAATATCTAAATTCATAATGTGCTTAGGCAGACTTTAACCCTTGTCATCATCAACTCTTGAGAGACACTAGCCCTATACTACCGAAAAGTAACTCAGAAACCTTAGGGAAGTTAAGTTCAAACCTAAGTAAATGTACCCAAGTCTGATCTGAATCAGACTTACCTTACTGCCTCCTAAAATACAAAGATGAAAATAGCCTTCTGGCCCTTACATCCCCTGCACCTATGGCCTACACCCCAGTTCTTCTACACAAAAATTAAACAGTATTTTTAAATCAAATAAAAACAAACAAGGAATTAAAAAAAAAAAAAAAAAAGACACCAAAATACAAACATTCTTTGCTGAGCTGGCACAATTCAGGAAGTCTTAGAATTCTTTGTCAATAAATAGTGTAACATATTAATTTGCTCAATTTTTCTAAATTCCTGCAATGATAAAAAACGCAATGAGAAATACTTACTTGAAACATGGCAATATGCAGCTGAACACGCTGCAGGCTTGTCTTACAAGAAGAAATACTGGTCTCCAACCTGCGCACCAAATCATGCTTCTTCCAGGCAGTATCATAAGAACTTGCTAACACAGTTGCCCTGTTCATGACCAACTGGGAGAACTTCCCAATCTGGATGTTGTGCTCCACAGCTTTCTTACACAGATCATCGACAGAAACTTTGCTCTCGGCACCAAAATCCTTCGCCTCCACTTGAGCAATGATGTCTACACCCAGAGCACTGATAAAACTGCAAAGCGTGAGTCCCAGGGCTTGGTTTGGTAGTCCAATCAAGAGCTGCCTCACAAAGTCAGCTGTGAATGCCTTTATAGGTTTGGCCATTTGGTCTTCACTGAAACAAGAGTTTCTAAACAGGGTTTTCACATTGACCATCTGTACAGGTCCGTTCACAGTATTCTGATCTTCAAGTGAACTTGACCCTAAAAGAGGACAATTTTCTTAAATACTTCATGTAAAATTAAAGGTATTAATGCTGCTTGCTTAAAATACTTAAGCTCTTATGAACATACAGTGAATTCTACTCCATCCTGTACCCTTCCAAAGCACTATACAACTAAGCCAGCCATTCAAATACAAAATATTACCTGACAAAGTTTTGGAAAAGGTACCGCAAAGCCTGAAGAACTCCTTAATTGTCTGTAGTCTTTTTAGGAAGAAAATCTCTTCTAGCACCTGACGGTGATTATCATCATCAAAAAAATTGACTTGGGTACTCCTGGCTTCCCTTATAATGTCAATCTTTCTCCAAGCTACAGGAATTTCCATCTTGTTTAACTATGTAAATGAAAGGGGGAGGGGGAAAAGTCCGTTTTTTCACTCTTTGCACACTGAACAAACTACTTTCAATACTTGCATTATTCATAAAACCAAGTCAGTAGTTACCTTTTCAACTAACAAGCCAAAAGCAGTTTCAACTTGGGCAAACATGCCATCAAATGCTACCAAGAGCATCTGGCCCGCTGACATTTTTGGTGTTTCATCAACTGAACCATTTCTTGGTTGGATTAATTCACCATACTGAGCATGAAGTATTCTAGAGGAAAAGAAGGAAGAATTAAAATCCTCTATAAAGAATAATAAATTTCAGGAAATACAAGCTGGCATAATGTCTAGAATGTCTTGATATGTATGTACAACTGGTGAAATCTTGGTGAGCTCTGTGGACTCAATCACATGGCTTTGCTATGCTGGGTGTGGGGTAAAGTGTGCACAAGAGCTCCCTGTACGTTTTTATTTTTATAACTTTCTGTGAATCTGTAATTATGTCAAAATAAATTTCAATCTATTTTGAAATCAAAGTTGTAATTGTCCTTAAAAAAAAGATGTGTTACTCCATCTTTAGAACTAAGTATATCTGCCTTAAAATCAGAATTAAACTCAACAGTAAAAACAGAGCTCAGAACCCTTTTAGCTGGCTTAGCCCGACTTTCACTAGAAAACAGAACAGAGCTAACATTCACTTGCCTGGCAACATCGATGTAATGAGCATGTGTTTCTTCCTCGAGTCCCATAGCAGCGTTTCTTAAATAGGCTTGAAGAGATTCCACTAGAGTCTGCAGGGGAACGCCATCAGTTGTCTGCTCAATAAGACTGTCCAGTTCATGAAGCATACTTTCTAATGTGTATTCTCCTTTCATTAAACATCTAAGTGCTTCTGGAAATATGATTTGCCGGAAATTTGAATTTAATTCCTATAAATATTTGAGAAATACATTGTTTTAATGTTTTCTGAGTTAGGAAAATTACACTTACAGACTTAATGCCATAAGTGAAGAATTTATGCACTAGTAACCAAGGTACAGCTACAAACTTCATGGTGATGTTAAATAACTGCTTAAGCAACATCCAAAGGGTTAGGGTAGAAGGGGAGTCTAACTAACTGCTTCCCTGAACTAAAGATGTGAGAAATAAACATTATCTAAAACATACTTTAAAATTTAAGCTAGTGTTCACCTGAAGTGAGGTATATACTCCATTTGCTAAATGAACTGCTTCAGAAGCTTCCATGGGGTTTGGGATGTCCAAGTCCTGTGGCACCAGGTGGCACTGTTTCAGTAACTGAACCAGGCAAGTGACATTTCCGCTCATACTGCAGAGCTCTTCTAAGAACCAGGCTCCGTCCCGAGAAGTCAGATCAACCAGCTGCTCTCCGGCACTTGAGGCAGCGCCTTCCATCATAAGGTTACGCCTAAATGCAATAGTACTTGCATAGTGAGACAGATTTTGCTAAACTCTTTTTCTCTCTCATACGTGCACGCACACGCGTGCGCTCACACACACACACACACACACACACGCACGCACCTTCACATCTGAAAAGAAATAAAGTAGTCCTAACACTTGCTAAGGTACAAAAGTAAAATACCTACGATTTGGTATTGAACTAAAGATACAGGCCTCTTGGTGGCACAGGGTTTCACCAGTCACTGCGACATGAGTTCGATCCCCTACCAGGGAGCTGGCCCACAGAGTGCAGTAGACCTCTCCTATCTCACCTGCTGTTCCCCTCAGTAGTACATTTCAGTACATCTGCCAGTTCTGCTCCCCAATATCTCTGGTGAATCCTCCCCTTACTCTCCCCCCACACCCTTGGCCCACACCCCAGTTCTTGTAAGTATAAATAAATCTTTATTTAAAAAGATACATGAACTCTCAATAAGCACCAAGAGTTTCAAGACAGTAAACTGGTCTCAGTAAGTGATTAGGTAACTCACCTTGTAAGGGTGCAAAGGGCAGAAATAATAACACTGGCAAGGCTCAAAGATCCTTCTTCTCCATTTTCATGAAGGAAAACTTTAATGCAACGTTCAATTTCTTTCAACTGATCTTCACAAACAGGTACGGTGACAGCTTCCTGTTTCAAGCGTTCCACTTGTCTAATAAGTCTACTGTTTATGTCTGCGGCATACCGCTGGAGGGTCATTTCAGTGGCAGTGATGAACTGACACACTGTTGGGGGTGGCTGAGGAGCATACTGCATTTCATATCTGTAATGGCAGAAAACGGTCCTTATTTATAATACAGCCACTCCCTGTCTGTAAATAAAACTTAACACTTTCCACAAAATATATTATGTAACAACATGCAATGTTGTAATTGATCACTAGACAAATCTCAACAAGTAGACATAATTTCCATTTTACAGATAAGTCTCAAGAGTCAAATCACCTTCCTATACAATGTGTCAATGAGTGACAGAATCAAAATTCAAGTTTAACACTATCCTGATCCCACCACTCTTACAATTTAATTAGGAAAACACAAGCTCAATTCCTCCTAACACCTCTTAAAAGTGAGTATTTAAATTCCATCTACTGACCATTCCTTTCAGGAAAATAAACATCATCTTATTTAAAAAAACGTTGGGGGGCCCTCCCTGGTGGCGCAGCAGGTTAAAGCGCAGCACAAAGAATCTTAAGCCACTTCCGCATGAGTTCGATTCCCGCCTGCCCCGGAGGTGACCACATGGCGCGGCAGACCTCTCCTGGCCCGCCCACTGCTCCCCTTAGCAGTGTACTTCATCGATCTGCCTGTTCTGCTCCCCGCTCTGTCTCTGGTGAAGCCTCTAGCCTCCCCTGAGCCTCTGGCCTATAACCTAGTTCTGTATGCACAAATAAATAAATCTTTACCAAAAAACAAAACAAAACAAAAAAAAAAACACAACGTTGGGGGCCTCCCTGGTGGTGCAGGGGTTCAAGTCTCAGGCTATCACCAGCCGCTGCTGCATGATTTCGATACCCAGCCAAGGAGATGACCCACAGGGCACAGCAGACTTCTCATGGCTCACCCACTGCTCCCCTCAGCATTATTTTTCAGTAGATCCACCTGTTTGCTCTCCATTCTGTCTCTGGTGAATCCTTTCACAACCCACACCCCTGGCCTACACCCCAGTTCTTCTATGTATAAAATAAAATCTTTAAAACAAACAAAGAAATACAACAACTTTGCCAATCCTCATAAAAAAATCAAGAAAACCAAGTGTCAGCAGCTTACTTCCTGTAGAGTTCTTGACAGCGTTCTACTGTGGTGTTGCAGATGAGCTCTTCCATCCAGGTCTTCCATTGCTCAATTCGATGTTTCTGAAATATGGCCTTTGGATACTGCAGGGCTACCGTTGCATAGTGGTGCAGCTGTTCCAGACAGCCCCGGAGCACCGAGCGCCTCTGCTGCAGAAGAGCACCGACCTCCCCCTCCAGTTGCTCACACTGGCTGATCAAGTGCGCCTGGCCAGCGTTCTGCAGGAAGGCTGTGGCTGGCACATAGCTTGGAGGACCTTTTGGTAAAAGACAATTATTAATGACCATGAAACCATCTCAAATCAGTAGTCATTGAAAGGCAGCACAAACTAAAATCCCCATGTAAATGCACAAACACAAAATTCACAGGAATATCTAAAATAAGTCAACCCATACCAAGATCCATTTGTGTGCTAATCTCCTGAAGCAAACTTGCAAGCTGTGTTGCTTCTAGATTATTGAATGCAGCCTGGTACTGTGTTATCCACTGTTCAAATTCATTCAGCTTCACCTGGATTGCTTCCTGAACAGTCCTTTGTTGAGTCTGCAGTTGAGTGTGCTCAGAATACCTAATGGTGAAAAAGCTTTTTTTAAAATTTCTCCTTCTTCCTTCTAAGTACTCTCATAATCCTGATTTTGCTCATACTTGGGCTGCCTGCAAAGCACCTTTCTGATTTTAAGGGCACTGCTCCAAGGCCTGTTCTTACTTCTCTGATTTTTCCTGATCCCGGAGTTTCCACCACTGTACCACAACAACTTGAACAAAACTCCAACATATCCACCAGATTTCATTTAAGGTATAAAAAAAATTTTAAGCCGTATATTTGTAGTTAGTCTCAGACCCTCAAGCAGTGTTTGGCACTTGCATGTTTAACTGCCTTTTCCTGAGCACATGGCTATGTGAAGCTTCACTCACTTAGTACCTTCTAGCAAGAAAATGCCAAAAAAAAAAAAAAAAAAAAAAAAAAAAAAAAAGTTTAAGGCGTAAATTTGTAGTTATTCTCAAACCCACAAACAGTGTTTGGCACTTGCATGTTTAACTGCCTTTTCCTGAGCACATGGCTATGTGAAGCTTCACTCACTTAGTACCTTCTAGCAAGAAAATGCCAA